GCCTTGAGTTAAAGATCCAAGTTATCTTATTTGTGCTAATCTAGTTATGATTGCATTTGTCTTGCTTGCATATGTTCATATATATATCTTGAATATGAATGTATTTTGTTTAGGCTATAAATCCAATGTTGCTCCTAAATTCATTAATTTTTCCTATGCACAATGGGCTTCTAGATTTAAACTATTTGTTGAATCTAGAAATATTGACTTATGGAAAATTATTGATTGTGCTTATATTGTGCCCACATTGGAGAAATCTAAGTGGAGCAATCATGATAATAAAATGTTTAATATGAACAAGCTTTTGTTAGAATATTTGCTTAATGCCTTTGACTCATCATTTTCTAACAAATTTGTTCATTTTGATAGTGCTTACAATTTATGGAAATTCATAGAAGCACATCAAGGCAACTTGGAGGAAATCCGACGTAGTTTGGAGGATTGTTCTTCAAGTGAGTGTGGAGCATCATCATGCACACGGCCACTAGGCGATAGCCCTAGTGTGGTAAGCGATTCGGAATCCGATAGTGATATATCCATCAATGAACTCGCTTGTGCATATGATAGATTATCTCATGCCTATACAAAATTGCAAAACAATTTTATTGATCTTAAAAGCAAGCATATTAGTTTAAAATCCGATCATGAGTCGCTAGCTTCCAAACTTGATATTGTTGTTAAAGAGAATGCTATTTTAAAAGAAAACAATGAGTTATTAAGTTTGGAAAATAATAACATGTCTTCATCTATTGCTAGTTTAACTCATGCTAATAATAATGCCATGATAGAAGTAGAAACTATTAGAAATAAGTTTAATTCTTTTAGAAATGATCATGTTTCATCTACTTCTATTTCCAATGCTTGTATGCATAATGATGAATTGAATCTTGTGAAAAACCGAATATTATCTTTAGATTCAACCCTTAAAACATGCATTGTAGATAATAAGAAACTTATGGACTTGGGTGCAAAGTCTAGTACTACAACTTCTAAACCCGTACACTTTGCACACTTGTATAGTAAAACTTATAAGTGCTCCATTTGTGGTCGTAAAGGCCATTTAGCTAAATTTTGCTATGATGCACAAAAACATAAGAATATTAATTCTTCTTGTGCATCTCATAAGGCTTCTTCTTCATCACATGTACACACACATGCACCCATTGTTCATCATAAGCATGCTAATGTGTATCATTGTGATTTTTGTGGTAGAGTTGGTCACTTAGCTAAGTTTTGTTTTGATTTGCGAAAAGTTTCTAAATCGTAAAGTATTTCAAGTAGACCAACATTATTTCAAAATGTTTCTCATTTGCAAAATAATCTTAAAAGACCATCTTTATTTGCAAATGTTCCACGTGCACCTTTTAATGGTCAACATAAGCAAATGCTTCCTTTCCATTGGGTTCATAACCCTAGGGCCTTGAGCTTAAATGATAGGGGTCATGTCCCTAAATCTTTTGGTACCAAGAGTTCTTGGGTACCAAAACAATTTTGAATTTTAAACCAAGAATTTTAATGTTTTTATCTTTCTTTTTCTTGGTTTTGAAAATTATGCTTTGAAACTTTTTATGAAAACACTTCTTAAATTGATCAAACTTTGACCATGTTAGTGCACCACATATGCCTAAGAGGGTTCATAACCCTAGGGCTTTGAGCTTAAATGATAGGGGTCATGTCCCTAAATCTTTTGGTACCAAGAGTTCTTGGGTACCAAAACAATTTTGAATTTTAAACCAAGAATTTTAATGTTTTTATCTTTCTTTTTCTTGGTTTTGAAAATTATGCTTTGAAACTTTTTATGAAAACACTTCTTAAATTGATCAAATCTTTTGTTTTCATGATTATTTATTTCGATCTTGATGAGAGTACTATGTTTATATAACCCTCAGGATTTATTGGGTGTTTATTTAATACTAGCTCAAGAGCTAGATAGAGTTGCCTCTCTTGAATTTTGAAAATCAATGATGATTTGGTTTTATGTTCTTGTATGATTTACTTGTGATTTATGATTTTATTTGGTTGATTTGTTTTCATTTGAAAACTTTTTGCGTGACTCTCATGTTCCTTCTTTTGATTTCATAAATCTACTTTTATACATATTTTCTTATGTTCTTTGATATGAGACACTTCTTTTTCATATTGACATTTTATATGTGTTCTCATTGTCTTTTTGTATGTGAATGGTGTTTAGCTCTCTTATTCTTTTGTCCCCTTTTTGATGTTGTCAAAGGGGAAAAAATATTGTGAGTATATTCTTTCTTGTTTATATGCATGATATATTATACATTGTATGTTCATTTCCTTTCATGCATATATCCTTTTTGTAAATCTATGCTTATTGATAGGGGGAGCTTTCGCTCTCTTATTCCTTTGTCCCCTTTTTGATGTTGTCAAAGGGGGAGAAACATTGTGAGTATACATTTTCTTGTTTATATGTATGTGAATTATAATTTATATATTCATTTCCTTTCATGCATATATCTTTTTTTGTAAATTGTTTGTCATCGTCAAAAAGGGGGAGATTGTTGGCCTTCTTGTTTTGATGATGATTTACAAACAATTTACTACTAATGTTGTTTGTCTAGTGTTTGTGCATTCCTATGTTTTGTAGACAAATAACGTTGTTGGAGGATGGATGGAATAGAGCTTCAATGATCATATCCAAAGGAGGTTGGCGGAATGTCGGTGAAGCCTTGCAATTCAAAGTTAAAGATCAAGTTCAAGCTTCATCCGCATGTATACCAAGTTGAGCTACAATGAAGATCAAGATCAAACTTGGGTAAATTTAGTATAGGTTTATATTATGTGTGTTTAATACTCTAAGCTCAATATCATATACACACACAATATTGGATTTTCTCACAAAATGAGCTATTTTGAGAAAACTTTGTGATATTGTTTTATTGACCATGTTTACTTTATATTCATGTGTTATAATGTTTATGAAGACATTTCATAAAGTTTTAATATGCGTTTAAACTCTTTTTGTCAAAAACAAGTTCTTAACAAATTCATATTCATGCATGTTTTTACAAAATAATGAGTTTTCACAATTAAGAAATAAAAATTGAGAAATTATTTTTCTAACATGTTTGTATTCATGTTTATAAACATTTCGCAAAGTTTCATCAAGTTTGGAATTGATTTGTTATGTTTAATGGAATTTACAAAATCATGTTTTTCGTTCGTGCATGTTCGTGCATGTTTTACAAAACAGATGAGTTTTCATAAATGGGAAGTGGTATTTAAGAAATTCTTTCTTTGACATGTTTATCTACATGTTTAAAAACTTCACTCAAAATTTTACTATTTTTGGAGTTGATTTACTGTGCCCAATTGATTTTACAAAATCGTGTATGTCAGCAGGTTTTCAGAAACTGTAAATTTGTGTTCAAATATTTATTTCTCTCAACTGGGAAACTATTTTTCAGAAATTCTTTCTCTGACATGTTATTCTACATGTCTAGAACATTCCTACAAAATTTCATAATTTTTGGAATTAATTTATTATTTTAAATTAATTTTACAAAACAGCTGCGCACTGCTACAGTACTCCGGTCGACCGGACCGGTCGACCGGAAATGTCTCTGGAGGTTGGTTACTGTAGCTGTCTATATTTTCCAGATTTATATATATCCGTTATTTTGTCTTTTTGCTTGATTTTCTTGGGTTTTTGGGCTTGTTTCATGAGCCTATGTATACTCCATGCCCTCATACTTCTAAGGGCACTTAAGAAATGTTTTAAACAAGTTTAAAGAGTTTTAAACAAGGGTTTAAGTGTGTTAGTGTTTGTTTTGGTTTATGAAGAAGTTTTCACAAGTGGAGGAGATCATCTTCTTGTTTGGGCTTCAATCTCCATCTCTCCATCTTATCATCTATTGGAGAAGTTTTCTAAACTCTATCTAGCTTTACATTTGCTTAGTTATTTGATTATCATTCTTTAAAGCTAGTTTTTTATATTGAGTTTAGATTTGATTATATTATCTCATTGTTACACACACAACCATTGAGCTTATTGTATTTGCATACATTATATAATTAGGTTATGGGATAGTGTGACATTGAGTTGAGCCTAATTGAGTTCTCACCTTGTTAGAGAGAACAATCATTTGTTAAATTGTGCTTATTGTGAGATTCACTTTGTAATACACTTGTACACCGAGTGAGGAGTGTGTGGTGAGAGTCGGGGATCGTCCTAAGAGGAGTGGCGTCGGTTGACGTGCCTAGGGAGAGGTTGTGACCGAGCACTTGAGGGAGACACGGCTAGGTCCAACACTTAGTGGGTGTAGAGTGGGATTACAATAGTGTGTTGATTGTAAAGTTTTCGGTTAGCTAGAAAACCGAGTGTGAGGTGTAAACGTTATTCGGGTGAACGTAGAAAACCCGGTTGATAGTGAATTTCTTCCCGGGAGTGGGGAGCGGAGACGTAGGACTATATATATATATATATTTCATCATATAGGATATATCTCATTGTTTACATTGCTTTTCCTAGCTCATATATCTTGTTGTATTTCACACTTGCTAGGATAACTTGTTAATTAATTTTAAATTGACATTTAATCGGATTAGATTAGCATAAGACCCTAATCACCCCCCTCTAGGGTCTAACAATCAGTTCTAGGACTAAATTGTCAAAGGAACCTACAAGCAATAGCCAACACCGAGAAAACAGTAAAGACACGAGATTTACGTTGTTCGGCAAACTTGCCTACGTTCACAGGAAGGGGTGAGGGGAGATTCCATTATGAGGAGAACACCGACGACTTGTACAATCCACAAGCTCGTCTCAAAAGAAAAAAAATTTGATTTTTACCAAAAAGAAATTGACATCTCTCTTGTAAAATCTCTTCAAGCTCTCTTATCAAGATCTTTCTTTTCTAGCCGCCAAAAGTCCTTGTTTTCTTCTCTGCAGCCGAAAAACAAAACCGTCTGTTCGTTTTTTATCAAAACCCATGAAGCCGAAAAAAACCCTAGCTTCGGATATTTATAGGAGAGCATGAAATTTCTTGGGTGGGTCGTACCCGGGCTTGCCGCTTGCTGCTCCGCGCTCGTGGGTGTGGCCCCCACGTTCACAAGTTTCTGCTGCCTGTAGAAATAGGTTACTTCTTTTAGTTTCTTTTAAATGAGAATAGGCCGAGAACAAAACGAAAGCTAGAAAAATGCCACCAAGATTATCACACTTTTCAGTATACGCCTTTTTTGTGGCAAGAGCAGCAAGCAAGTTATTTGCAGACCAAGACATGAGAACGGCACAAAAGTCACAACTCATAAAACTTGAGAGAATAAGCCTGAAAAAGTACACTCACGATATGCAAACACTTTCTACTCCAAAACCTTTAACATGAGTCAGAAATATTTCAATACATTCATGGATATGTTAACTACGGATGTCCATTGAAAATGGATTTTAACCAAACGAAACTGCCTTCGTAGTCTGTACCCTCTAGACCACAGAAGCTTTATTTTGCTACCAACTTTCCCCTTATAGCTCCTTTCGATTCCCTGGAAATGAAACAGTGAGGTTCAATATGTGCAAGTCTCGGTGCTAAAAAAAGCTAATACTGAGACCGAAGGCGAACAGCATAACTTCTATATATAACATTCTTGCAAAGGATTTCATTAACGATAACTATAAGTTCATTCTGGACGACACACAATTTAACTGCTAGAAAGGAAGACGAGAATGAATAGAACTTGTAATTAACAGCTAAACTTTTCAACTTTACCTGATCCAATTTATTTTGATAAAATACCATAAAAAGCTCTGTAGCTCATGGCTGCTCAAGGAAAATAGTTCCAGGGAAGGTAATTACTTGATTATCTCATTTCCATGAGACCCTGGACAGCGGTATAACAAAGAAAGTTACTAACAACTCACTTGAATGTTCAGAATAACCTCACTCCAGCCTTAGAGTTATCAACACCTGAAAGCAAAAACCAGCTTAGGGAAAAACCAAGCTTTTAAAGTAGACAGATTTCTTCCTACGATAGGGTCAGTATATACTGTTTGCTTTGAAGCTTCAAAATCTCATCGGGATAACCTATTCAAAAGATAAAGCTCATAACTATAACGCAGCACTTTGTAGTAAAATTCATGAAAGAAAAATAGAATAATACAGGCAAAGTAAAAGTGAACTCTTAGACCAGCTTATGTGCTCCTCCATTTCGTCACAAATAACAGAACAAAAATTCTAAATCCGATTACCATGCAATCCACATGAAAATTATTCATGTAGTGGGAAACAGAATCCAAGTAGGAACAAATTATGCTTGTTTTTGCCATCAACAAGTCGGAGCAATTCAAAAATGCATGAGACACGCTGGAGATACTGAAATCTTTTCAGGTTTTAAAATAAAAGCCGAAAAATTGCATGTCAGGAGCTGCAGTGGCTATAAAACTTTTCAGAGAAATTTAGGCACACCACAGAAGTTCCTAGACCAAACAAACGTAAATGGACTCATCATACATAGGCCGCACACACTTTTGAAACAACCTAAAACACCTTCTAAATTGTGAGGTGCATCATGGGCTTTGCATAGGGCTTAATATTAGATAAGACTTCAGATACCTTTTAAATTTAAACAATATATGTTAGTCATTAAAAATTGATTTTCGTTCTTTCTACCTTTGGTGAAGTATGCACTACTTACTATCATGTTGAGGAGTTTGGTTTTAATGTCTTTATGTTTGTTTGCATTGTCGTGTCTTTTAAGATTTACAGTGCCATGATTCCTAGAATGTGATATCTAAAAAAGACGAATTCTAGTAGAAAATTCTAGTAGAATTTGAAACTGCAGCATTTACAAGCTCACTATTGTAATGAAAAGCAAGACAATACACATTATCAAAAGGTATAGGACTGCAGACGTTAAACCTTCAGTGAAAAAGTAAGAAATAATAGAAAAGGGAAGAGGGAAATTCATTCATTTGTTTTGGTGCCCAGTGGTATAGATATTTAAAGTTGCTAGTTAACTTCTGGTGGAGTTGATCCAAGCCAGTAGCCATTATTTCCCAAGTGTTGTGATCGTAGAATACCTGTAATGTTCGAGGAAACTGTCAAGACTGATAATTATCGACCATACTTATGGGTCAGAATACGTACAGAACGAATGAACACATAAACAACAATAAAACACTCAGGCGAGTGATAGCAATATAGGAATAAGAATTAGCGAATCCATAAGAAGTTTAAGGTTACTTCAATTAGGAACAAATTAAGAGAATTGATTGAGATGAGTTAGACATGTAAAATGGAGACAAATATGCACCAGTTAAAGGTGATAGTATTGATATTAATAGATCAAAATCACATGGGGTTGAGGCAGTTATTAACTCTTACCAGAGCTGAATGGAGAAATAAGATCATGCATACAAGACAGGGTGAACCCCATTAGAATAAATGCTCATCCTAAGGAAGGCAAATAACGAAAAATTGGAGACACTCGTGTCAAAGATGTATCTGATACTTTCAAGTGTATGTTGAGAATGCCAAAAATGTTAGGTTCTGCCATGAATACTTTAACTATATGAAATGAACTTGCATGTCGTTTATCAAGATCTGAATTAGAGGGCTTTTGGAAATAGTGCAAATCCCTAGGTGGCTAGTCTGAAATCAAACTGAGCAAATAATTACTGAAACAGTAAATGCCATGCTATTTCTCTGTTTGAAATCAAACGAAAGATGCCAGTGTATATTCCATTGTGAAAATATGTGATAAATGCTCACCAGCATCTTGGCCCTACAGAAGCAAGCTTCGCAGGCCTCCAATTTTGGCCCTGAAAATGCATGAAAAGGGTCAAATATGTAGCAAAATCAAAGAATCGAAAATTGATCCGGTAGAATAACCTTATTGGTAAATTAAAGAGTAGAGATGAGTTGCTCAGTCCCGAAGTATTCAAACAACTATGATTTTAGAAATTTCAATTCACATCAAGAATAACAGACAACACTATTGTAGAATGGATGATGTTGTCTCTGCAGTGAAACATAGTATTCATTTGAGAACATCAATACTTTTCTGCCACTACATCTAAGAAATTGTGAAAGAGCAACTTTTTTCCATATCAATCTCCCTACTATTACGTGATGAAATACATGAGGATCCAAGTGGCTTTCTTAAATCAGTGGTAAACGCCTCTAATCAGGTCACGAAATTTAAACAGGGCCACGAGGTGGCTTTTGACAATAAATGATCAACGTAGTATACCAGGCATAAACAACCTTGCAAAAAATTTAAAAACAAACACAAAATAGTTGCCATGAATGACAAGGTCACAACAATTTTGTAACTTAATCGAACAGCCAAAAGTTGAGAAGAGAGAGACAGCTGGGAATCAGAAACATAGGTAACTAGGACATTTTATTTCTTTTAACAAATTCTATACAAATATTCCCCAAGTATATACCCTACCTTTAGTAAATTTCAGAAATTGAACAATTGAGAAGTGGATACAGCAGCACTGAGAACTTAGAATCAAATAAGTAGAACAAATGGTTCCTACAATAATCTGAAAATGGCTTAAGCTAAGCCGAATCACTTTTGATAGTTCTTAGCTCCAATAGGTGTTCATCATTTGTTATATGAAGCATAAGACGGAGATTAGTTAGCAAAGCTTCTCTCTCCCAACTTAGCGGTCCAGATGCATATAATGCCATTATGATTAAATGGTAGGCATTTAACTCCAATCGATGAATTTCAACGGCCCCTTCCTTTGAAGGTTCAAAAGGTTCTGTTCCTGAGCAGCTCCAGGCTTCATCGTCATTGAAACTAATACTCTTAGGATGGTCAAATGACCTATGTTGACTATTGAAAGGACTACAACTACCAACAGAGGATGAAAGGCTATCAGTATTACTATGTTCTAAACTTCCAAGAAAGAAATGCACATCTTCATTTGGATTTGCCCAATTCATGCCTGAGTCAGGAAACCCAGGGGTTCTTTTGTAATTTTCACCATAAATTATTTGTGATGGAGCACAAATATCTACCATTTTAGGAAATAAACTTCGGCGCTTCCTCACTTTCCTCGCTGCTCCCATCTTTCTCCCAGCTCCTGCTTTATTATCCAACCTTTTCTTCAAGCCTCTTACAGAAATCCTATAAGGTTCATCATCACGTTTGCCACATTTTTTGAAGCGCCGCACCTCTGCATATTGTTGCAGTCTTTGGTTGTCGACGCTCCCTCTTTCCCATGGTATTTCGGTCTTTCGTTCATTTAATTTTTCAGACTCCTGCAACAAGATAATACAACCATCCAACGCCACAATAAGAAAATATAACCATGAACAATAAGACCTAATCAGAGGACTAACCTAAATAATTTAGGGAATACCAATAGTTTACGACATTACCCCAATCTAGATCATTATAATTAAGAGATCCAAATCAAGAGGCATAACAATTTGCAATATTATGAAAAACAAGAAACAGCCATACCTTATTGACTAAGACCCATCTATCGCCATTCCACGACTGCGGGATTCTAACGTTAGATTTTTCTACTTCAAGCTTGTCAGAGGATCCACCAAGCACGAGCACAGAGTAATTCCCACTACCAAGAACATCCACAATCTTCGCAGCTTTCCAAGAGCTATTCTCAAAAACTTCAACAATCTCACCAGGAACACAACTCCCGGATATCTCCACAAGAGGAGGGCATGGCCTAATGTCCTTCCTCTGAACTTTTCCCATGGCAATAGCTCCATTGTGCGAAAAACCGTCGTACTTAACATGGTAATAGTGGCGCCTGAGGGATTCTCCCTCTTGCTCAGAACCTCGACCTTGCTCCCTTTCCTCAATCTCATTCTTGCAGTTTTATAATAAAAAAAACCCCTAATCTACAAATTCAGAAAAATCTATCAATAATCTTCAACTAATTTTTTCCCTTTTTTTCCTGAGAAAATCTGCAACTAGTTATTTATATATAAATCGAACATTGATTACAGAGAGATGAAAATAAGCAAATAAAGAAGCTTTTGTATGGAAATATAATATAAATCATAAACATGCATACAAGACTTGATGATCAATTTAAGAGATTAATATCTTAACCACTAGAAATGATAGTAATTAACGAGCTATTAATACAGCAAATTCATCGAAAAAGACGAAAAAAATAATAAAAACTTGAAAATTGCCAGATTAAGTCTAAACAATAGACGAATTTTAAACAATGTCATCAACTGTAGTTGCACTGATGACTAACATTCTTATTAAAAAATAAAAACAAAATCAGGATGTTGGCGTAAGAAAAAGATAAATGATGAGTAATTTGTTAAGATATTTAGTAGGTATCGGGTAGTTAATAGTTATTAGGAGTTTATCTCTTTAGTGGGTTGTTAGTGGATTGTTAACGGAATTGTTAACTGAATTGTTAACTGAATTGTTGCTGCTGTTATCTATTTAAGTAATGAATGAATCTCTTTAGTGTGTGCGTGAAATTACTCTCTTCTTTCTCATCTTCACATCTGGTATCAGAGCCTCTGCAGAGGTGATAACTGATAAACAAATACTGAGAGTATAGGAGTAGAAATTGTTCTACAAATGGCCACAGAGAAAGCCTCTTTTATCCAACCAGCAATTCCTCACTTTGATGGTCACTACGATCATTGGAGTATGCTAATGGAGAATTTCTTCAGATCTAAAGAGCTTTGGGAGGTTGTTGATAAGGGTTTTACAGCACCTACAGAGGCAGCGTATCAAGCATTGACAGATGCCCAGAAAGCAAAAATTGAGGAATCGCGTTTGAAAGATTTCAAGGCAAAGAATTTTCTTTTTCAATCAATCGATCGTGAAGTTCTAGAGACTATTCTCCAGAAAAATACATCAAAAAATATATGGGATTCTATGAAGAAGAAGTTTCAAGGCTCAGCAAGAGTAAAGCGTGCACATCTTCAAGCAATGAGGAGAGATTTTGAGACTCTTCAAATGAAAAACGGAGAGTCGGTCTCTGATTATTTTGGACGAGTTACGGGGATTGCAAATAAGATGAGGATTCATGGTGAGAAGATTGAAGATGGTGCTGTTGTAGAGAAAATATTGAGATCTATGGCTCCCAAATTCGACTATATTGTGTGTTCCATTGAAGAATCTCATGATATTGACACAATGTCAATCGATGAGTTGCAAAGCTCTTTACTGGTGCATGAGCAGAAGCTGAATCGCAGCACCACTGACAATAATACATCTGAAGAACAAGCTTTGAAAGCCTCTACCTTTAATGATTTTTCAAGCTACAGAGGAAGAGGCAGGGGTAGAGGTGGTAGAGGACGAGGAAGAGGAGGTCGAGGCAACCACAATGGAGGTAGACATCAACAGAATTTCAGGCACGAAGATCGTTCATCGCCGAGCTCTCAAGCCAAAGGAAAAGGTAGTTATAAACATACTGATAAGATGAATATCCAGTGTTATCGCTGTCACAACTATGGTCATTATAGCAATGAATGCTATACGAAGCTGCCGAAAGATAAAGGAGAAGGAGAAAAATCAAACTTTGTTGAGAGAAGGGAAGAAGAAACACTTTTAATGGCATTTCATGCCAATAAAGAACCTGGATTTGATACCTGGTACGTTGACACAGGGTGTAGTAATCATATGAGTGGCTGTAAGTCCTCTTTCTCATCCTTAAATGAAGATTTTCGTACCACTATCAGTTTTGGTGACTGTTCTAAATTAAATGTGATGGGGAAAGGAGATATTCAAATAAAAACTAAAAATGGTTTTACTGAAACAATTTCCAGCGTGTTTTATGTGCCTGATTTGAAAACTAATCTGTTAAGTGTTGGGCAATTGCAAAAGAAGGGATATATCATCACTATACAGGATGGTTCTTGTGAGATATATGATCCTGTAAGAGGCAGCATTGCTGTCATACATATGAGCTCAAACCTGCTATTCCCACTAAAAATTGAGACTGTTAAAGCTTGTTTAGTTGCCAAGGAAGATGATCCATCATGGCTGTGGCATTATCGATTTGGGCACCTTAATTTTAATGGCTTGAGGACACTATATCAAAAGCAGATGGTGACAGGCCTCCCCATGATCACAACTCCATCCAAGGTCTGTGAAGAGTGCATAGTTGGAAAGCAACATCGCGACCCATTTCCAAAAGGAAAGGCATGGAGAGCTCAGAACTTGCTGGACTTGGTGCACTCAGACATATGTGGCCCAATTAACCCAATGTCAAATGGTAAAAAGAAATATTTTATTTCTTTCATTGATGATTTTAGTAGAAAGGCATGGGTATATATTTTGCAGGAAAAATCAGAAGCTTTTAATGCATTTAGAACCTTCAAAGCATCTGTAGAAACTGAAACCGGAAAGAGGATTAAGATCCTTAGAACTGATCGTGGAGGAGAGTATTGCTCAAAAGAGTTCGATGTTTTTTGTGATAAGCATGGCATTCGTAGGCAACTCACAGCTTCCTATACACCGCAACAAAACGGTGTATCTGAGAGAAAGAATCGGACTATTCTCAACATGGTTAGAAGTCTGCTTGCTAAAGGAGGAGTTCCAAAACGTTTTTGGCCTGAAGCTGTTATGTGGTCCACTCATATTTTGAACAGGTGTCCTACTTTTTCAGTTAAGAATAAGACACCCGAGGAAGCTTGGGGAGGACGGAAGCCAGCAGTGGATCATTTTAAAGTGTTTGGGTGCATAGCATATGCACATATTCCAGATGAAAAGAGAAAGAAGCTTGATGACAAGGGTTTGAAGTGTTTTTTTCTGGGAGTAAGTGAACACTCCAAAGCATACAAATTGTTCAATCCAATTACTGAGAAAGTAATTATCAGCAGAGATGTAATATTTGATGAGGAAAAGATGTGGGACTGGTCAAAAACAGTAAAACAGCAAGGAGTTCCAGCTGACATTGATGCAGTTGATGATGAGATTGAAGTGCAACCTCAATCTCCTGTTGTTCCACTTGGAGTCGCTGATCAGCTGCAGCTGCATTCTCCAGCCACTATTGCACCAAGTGTCACTGATCAAATGATTCATAATCAACGTATTCGGAGGCGACCCAGCTGGATGATGGATTATGTAAGTGGAGATGAACTCTCTGATGATGATACTCTTGCTCACTTTGCTTTATTTGCAGATTGTACTCCCCTCACTTTTATGGAAGCAAGCAAAGATGCAAAATGGCAAAAAGCTATGGATGCTGAAATTGCATCCATTGAGAAAAATGATACCTGGGAACTCACTGATCTGCCTAAAGGTCAGAAAACTATTGGTGTGAAGTGGGTTTTTAAAACAAAACTGAATGAAAAAGGGGAGGTTGACAAGTACAAAGCTCGTTTAGTAGCAAAAGGATATAAGCAAGAGTACGGAGTCGATTATAAAGAAGTGTTTGCTCCGGTTGCAAGGCTAGACACAATTCGGATGGTAATTTCTCTTGCTGCTAAAAACTCTTGGCGTATATTTCAATTAGATGTGAAATCCGCTTTTCTACATGGTGAATTGCAAGAACAGGTGTTTGTGGATCAACCTCCAGGGTATGTGCAGCAAGGGCATGAAGGAAAAGTTTTTCGATTGAAGAAAGCGCTTTATGGGCTGAAACAAGCTCCCCGAGCTTGGTATAGCCGCATAGATGCATATATGGTCAAACAAGGTTTTCGGAGATGCCCATATGAACATACGTTGTATGTTAAGTCTGGCAATGATGGTAAACTACTGGTTGTATGTCTATATGTTGATGATCTGATTTACACTGGTAGTGATGTTCGAATGTTTGATGTTTTTAAACAATCTATGATGAAGGAATTTGACATGAGTGATTTGGGGCTGATGCACTACTATCTTGGCATAGAAGTAGTACAATCTACAGCTGGTAATTTTATTTGTCAGAAGAAATATGTTCAGGAGGTGCTGAAACGATTTCATATGATGAATTGTAATCCTGTTGGAACACCAGCTGAAGCTGGATTAAAGTTAAGTACTGATCCTGATGGAAAGAGAGTTGACAACACTCTTTTTAAGCAAATGGTTGGAAGCTTGATGTACTTAACCTCCACTCGACCTGATATAATGCATCCTGTGAGCTTAATTAGCAGATACATGGAAGCTCCAACTGAGATGCATTTCAAAGCAGCAAAGAGAATCTTTCGATACTTGAAAGGCACCGTTGATTTCGGGATATTTTACAAGAGAAGTGCAACATCAGATTTCTTCGGATATACTGACAGTGATTATGCAGGTGATTTAAATGATCGTAAAAGCACCTCAGGGGATGTGTTTTTAATGTGTTCAGGTGCTATTTCATGGTCCTCAAAGAAGCAGCAAATTGTGACATTATCCACTGCGGAAGCTGAGTTTGTTGCAGCTGCTTCATGTTCCTGCCAGGCAATTTGGCTTAGAAGAATGTTGGATACCCTTGGTTATCATCAGCAAGATGCTACAACAATCTATTGTGATAATGTCTCTGCCATCAAGCTTTCAAGGAATCCAGTTTTACACGGGAAGAGCAAACACATTGATGTTCGGTACCATTTCCTACGTGATTTATGTCAAGAGAATGTGATTAAATTAGAATATTGCAGGAGTGAGGTTCAAATTGCTGATATTATGACTAAACCTCTCAAGCAACCGTTGTTCGAGCATCTCAGAAGTTTGCTTGGAATGTGTTCGTTGCATGATGTTCAAGGGAAGACATGCTCAGGAGACTGAAATTCTGATTTACTTGTTTTCTCCTAAACTGTTTTCTGCAGAAATCAGTTTAAGGGGGGATGTTAAGATATTTAGTAGGT